GGGGCTTAGCCCTCGAGTTTTCGAGGGTTCCCCTTGCGTGCGGGTGGAGCTGGGGTGCCCTCCGCCTGAGTAGGGGACCTCGTGCGTGGCTGTGAGATGGGGCTTAGCCCTCGAGTTTTCGAGGGATCCCCTTGCGTGCGGGTGGAGCTGGGGTGCCCTCCGCCTGAGGAGGGGACCCCGTGCGTGGCAGTGAGATGGGGCTTAGCCCTCGAGTTTTCGAGGGTTCCCCTTGCGTGTGGGCGCTGCTGGGGTGCCCTCCGCCTGAGGAGGGGACCCCGTGCGTGGAGCACGAGCCCCTAGTGAAGGGGTCTCTGCCCTGAGTGGGTGTCTGTGGTACCTGGTGCTTGTTGCTTTTTCATCTGCTCTGTCTGCTCCGTCGCTGAGGTGGTCTTGATGCTCTTTGGCTCTGGCTCTGCTAGCATCTTCATGCCCATCTGCTGGCTGAGGGCCATGTACCGCTATCCTAGACTCTGCTCCTGCCTGTCCTTGTGCTTTGTCTGCAAGATCTCTTGTTTCACAAGCTCTGTCTGTTCCACTTTCTCATATCTATGTTAAAAGATATATAAGCGCAAGTTATTTACAAGCAACTTCTGTCTTCTGCAGTTCTGCATCTTTCTTTCAACCCGCTCCCTCCCATCTTTATTTTCTATTAGCTGTCAGTTACTATCTTGCCCTTACTGACCAAATTACGACTTGACCACACTTACTTTTACCTTTAGCTGTGCGTTTGCAAAAACTTGCAGAGCTTTCCATGAGAGCGGTGTCACAGCTCCTGAGGAGGAAGGCGGGACGGACTTCAAGCTCGGGATCCCCGAGCCGAGCCCCAGCAACCGCCTCCTCTCTCGCTCAACGGGCGAAGCAGACGGGCAGCGACCAAAGCTGCCGATCGCCTTCACGCCAGAGGCGGTGCCAGCACTCGGGAGGATGGCAGAGCCCGGGGCCACTCGGCTCGAAGCGCTTCCCGCCCGCCCGGCCCGTCTCCCCACCTGGCAGCGCGGCGTCGGGTCGGCTCCGGGTGCGGCACGCCGGCTGCTGAGCGGCGTCACGGCAAGCAAGCCGCTAGCAACGGCACGCGTTCTAACGGGCTGCCTACCGCCACCCGCACAACGCCCGCCCCAGCCGCGCGCTGCCCCGGCAACGGCTTCCTCCCCTCCTCCTCGTGGCTCCTCCTCTGCCTCCCCCCCCGCTCGGCGGCGGCGGCGATGGAGGCGGCGGCGGCGGCGGCCGGGGCT